TGGAAAGGAGGAGGTTGCAAGCATAGCGATAAATTAGTCTAAAACCATCCAGTTTCTGCTCTCACTCCCTGGTTTCATAAACCTTAAAACAGTTCTTGCTAGTTTAGAACTGGTTATAATTCATAACAGGGTTTGTGGGACATCCCTCAGACTTCAGTCACTGCTTTTACAGTTTTGCTTTTAGTCCTCCTCAGCAATCAGTTCCTCAGTTACCCTAACGTAGTTTTCTTCACACCACATGCCACTAAATTCTTCACCTTCTCCCAGCAGGCTGATTCATTATTTTCAGTGATCAGTTCTACTACTGTGTAGCACACACCGCCCACACATGTGAGGCACGCATGGCCATTCATTCATAAGAACGGAGGCAGTTGAGCAGCAGAGGACTGGGCACACTGCCTGTCGGAGGCCTTGTGTTCTTGGTGTGAGTGGAGCAAGTATGACTTCCAGTTCTCACTGTCTGGGACCTGTCCATCACAACGCTTCAGATCCAACTGCAGGTGTTCAGTGCCAGAAAGCTCGAGCTTTGGGCTTTGACTTAGAGCAGTGTTAAAAGAAAGCCAATGAACAACATTCCTTTCATTGGTCAGGCTTCTTCCATGCATCTTCTCTAGATCTACTGAGCCACAGGCAGTCTGATGTAGATCAAGTGTGGTAGTCTTTGATATGAGCCATAGCACTTTGGGCTGACAAGTGTGAGAGCTACAGGGCAGCTAGAGGGATAATAGTGGTGTTCTTCAAATAGGTGGGGATTACAGCCTGAGCCAGTACAGGGTGAATATGTTAGAACAAATGTCTGCCAATTGACTAGAATATGCTCAAAGAACCAGGCCAATGATGGCATCAGGGCCAACAGCCTGTTCACTCGGGCTCAAGTGTTCCCTGGCCCAGCTGTCACCGTCAGTGCTAGCTACAGTAGTAGATACTTATGCATCAATGCCAAAACAAGCATAACATCTATTTTACTCAGCTGGGAGGCTTTGTCAATCACTGACCTGTTGTGGTTGGTACTTGAAATCTCTGTTTCTCTTGTAACAAGAGTAAGATCCAAATAAGACTGATGATGTACAGCTGACATGAGCTCAGATAAAATGAGAAACTTTCCAAAAGAGTTGGAAGATGATGGGAGACCTTGAATCAGGATTTGTGGGTGATGGGGACAGAAGGACCTAAAGTCTAAGAATTTTATGATTTCATATTTAACACCTTTTTAAAGTGATTAACTTGTGCACTCTGTGTCACTTGTTCCCCTTTGGGGACATACAGTGATTAGCTGATGAATCCACCTTAATCTGAGCTCGTGGGCTCAGGAAAAGCCATTGCACATCTGCTATTTGTTTTGGACAACTCCTTATCACCTTATTCCAGTGCAGTATTGAGCATGATTTGAAAATCCCATTTTGAAAGTCATCAGTTACTGTGTACTGTGTTATCACCAAAGTAACTATGGACATCTGGGAACACGGCAACATTACACCAGTGAAGTCCAGTTGGGCAAGAAACAAGTAAACAGCCACATGATTTCCAAGTAAAGCTGAAATGTTTTTATTGCTCAGGATAACTGTGTGTGCACAGCTATGGCAAGTATGGTATGTCAAACTGTAAACTCTCAGACATCTTTTCTATAGTATAAAAGTTTAACTAACCTGTTGGTCAAAAACCAGTCAGATGGTCTTATTCATTTTAGCTCTGTGTTGCCAGATGACAGATAATTTGCAGGGACATGTGTATTGATATCAAAAGGATCGATGGCCGAAACAATGAAGACTAGACAGCACTCAGAACACAAACCTCCGCCAAGGCAGCTCAGTTTCAGATTGGGATGATGATGAGCTGAATCAGCACCAGAACATAATGAATTGTTCTGAGGGCCATACCCTACCACTCCAAAGAAATGTCATCAAAATCCATTCATTACCTTTAGAGTTCAGCTGTGAACAAAACAACAAATGGTGATAATCACATAACCCCCTTGGCAGAAGTAATAAAACAAAAGTTGTACTAAACTTTATTTCCCATTAATCTGTGGTCGGGTTTGAGTTGGGTTTCTGCTGCAGTCTTAAAGGATAAGGCCGGTCATTTACTATACTAGCAGTATTTTTAACACTTCCCATAAAGAGACTGAAACTGACAATGATTTGCCTCTAGGCATTGTTAATGTCCATCAGTGTGTCGGTCCTGGATTAATGTATTTGTGCCATAGACCTCCACTGTTGTTCACAAATGATTCAAAACACATCATTGAAACACACTGCACTTGGTGACATTTCTTCTTTAGAAAGCCCTAAACCTGAGCGTGACGTGATATGCATCCATCCATCCATCCATCAGCTATACCACTTATCCTGTAGAGGATCGCAGGGGGCTGAAGCCAATCCCAGGTGATGTTGGGTGAGTGTTAAGACCTATGAGTCTGGATTACAGTCTTGGACTTATATACGAGACTTGGACTCTAAGAAGTTTTTAAGCATTTTAGTTATTGAACTGGTGTACAATAAAGTCAACAAGACAAAGTCACTGTGGAGTATATGGTGTCTTAGGAGAGGAGCAGGTAACAGTGCCAGGAAGCAAGCGCAAGGTGGCAGCTGGGGCTTTACCAGGTGGGCAGGAGAACTGCCTGCCATTACTGGTGTTAGGTAATTTCTTAGTTAGATAAATATGGATTAGAGATCTGTTGTATTAGAAGATGTTTAGTGCAGCAGGATGTCTTCCTCAGGCTGTTAAATGCAAGGACAGTTAAGGCAGAGAAGGGCTGAAGTCAGGGACGAATGTTATTATGACGGTAAAAGTAACCATAATATTTGTCTTAATGTGTAATGTTATGTCAAATTGTTTTAGATACACACCACGAAAACAACAGCCACACACATTATTTTCTTCATGTTTTGTCTACTGCTCTGCTCAGCTGCCAAGCTGGCATATCAGGTGACATCACGGTTCGACAGCCCAGAAAGGATTAATATTGTATAGCAATGCTTGGTTCGGGGTCCTTCTGCTTCCGGGCTGCTTTTGGCAGGCTGGGGGTTGGAAGATCTCTGGACTGGAAGTGTGAATTCTTGCCTGTGACTCTTTGAATAAACCAGCACGGTTATATTTTTTATATACTCAAGTGGTCTGAGTCGTCCCTCGGAGTTCCTGGTTTGAAAGAACCGGATGAGGCTTTATAATGGAATAGGGCCTTTACTGGCATGATGACAGGGTGGTAGCCGGGACAAGAACAAGAGATGTGAACTCCAGTGGACCAGAGTCAGCAGTCCACCTCCACCAGAAGGAGAAAGGACACTCTTTTGAGGACAGTGAAGTCCAGATCCTCTCCAGAGAACATCGCTGGTTTGAGAGAGGTGTTAAGGAAGCTATTTTCGTAAAAATAGAGTCGGTTGACAGGGGAGGATCCAAAGACAGGTAACGACCCTCATTGATACTGGGCTGGGCTGTAACGACTCAGTCGTTAATGGACATTGTTGGCCTTCTAAGGACTGAAACCACACCGAGGGGGATAAATATCTCTGACTCAACACCAGTCAGTCAGAACTGATGAAGCCTCTTGGATGAGAGGTGAAACGTCTTCGATCTAGAAATCCAAGTCCAGTTGATTTCCAAGGTTATTTTGGTTGCGGTTTACTATGACCTGGATGACTGAGAATCTGCACAGAAAAGAGATGTGAAGATCACAAAGGCACACGGCACGCATGGTTCGCAGCAGTTTGGGGGGCAAGGCAGAGGTAAGGGCAGCAGTGGAGCATTGAACAGGAGGATCCCAGCAGGTGGGCTGGCAATGCTCTGCTGAGAAGAGCAGAGCTAGCTGGGCTGGCATTGTGCTGGAAGCAGGGGAGAAGAGCGGACCTTGGAGTGGAGTAGATTCCCTCAACATCAAAGACCTGTCAGGTGAGTGGAGTGAACACAGGACTGGAGAGAACTCACAAACAGAAGCACAGAGTTGGAGAGGACTCGTGCAACAACAGGGAGCAAACAGGTTAGGTCAGCAGACACAAAAATAGTTCAGGGTCCCAAAAAGTACAATGGACGTCTACACGTTGCAAGCACAACAAACTGACTGGCACAGGGAGGAGAAACAGTTCAGACTAAATGCGCTCAGTCAGAATCAGAGAATGTGCCACAGACACGCCCAGCTACTCAGCCCCTGTGGAGAAGCAGAGACCTAACAGTGGGAGGCGGGGTACACTCTGGACAGGTCGCCAGTCTATCACAGGGCTGACACTTGGAGACAGACAATCACACAAACTCATACTCACTCCTACGGCAATTTAGAGTCACCAGTCAATCCAAGCTGCATCTCTTTGGACGTGTGAAGAAGCCATAGTACCCGGAGAGAACCCATGCAGGCACAAGGAGAACATGCAAACCTGGAACCTTCTTGCTGCCCTCATGACAAGCTAGCGGAATTTAACCAAACTTGCAAAAGACCTCATACATGTGCAGTTGACTCCGACTCATGCTAACTTCAGGAAATTATGGCCGCTCTGAGACTCTGGGGCAAAATAGTCAGGTATGGGGTTTTGTAATAGGAAAAAGTGTGTCACCAAGTGCAGCGGTGTGTTTCATTTTCAAACGGAGATTTATCACATAGATGAACAAGGTGATCCAGGACTGACAAATATTAACTGTGAGTAGAGGCAATTCATTGCTGGTTTTATTCTATGAATGAGGAATGTTGAAAATACTATTAATATGAAAAATGACCAGCTTCATCCTTTAAGCTGCCATTGTGCTTCACCAGAACTGCTTGTCGTCTGGCTGAACAACTTCAGAGACCCCGTCTCACCAGACCTTTCTGACATCAGAATTAGGAAGCCTGCATCCCAAAATTACTTTAATTTTCTGAACTCAATAATCTGACATCCACATCCATGTATTTCAGTCAGACTTAATGTTTACAAATGAGTGCAAAATTGTGTCAGTTGTTGTTTGTAGGATAACACTTTAGCCTTGTGGTCAGACAAAACATCATACAAACTAGTTCTTTTCTAACACAACCCGAACTTTATTTTGTGCATTTGCTGACCCAACCAACAGATGACATGTATTCTTCAAGTATAAAGAGAAGAAAGGCTAAAGTGTATTGATCCCATGGGGGGAAATTGAGGCAAAGCCTTCCAAAAAATAGCTTAACGTTGTTGGTGTTAGTTGGAGTAAATATCAAATGGCTTTTGAAAAAGGCACTCAGAACTGGAGCAGTGGCTCAGTGACACATGCTCTGGTGACTGGTTACAGAGCCAAGCTATAAGAATGATGAGGAAGGGAAATGGAAGGGGGTGTCTGGGGAATGGGGTCACAGCTGTGACTCCAGTCCCGCCTTTGCCCGCAGTCGCCCTCTCGCCATGCTCCATGCCCAGCTTATGCCCACCCTGTCCGTGGCTCAGTGAGCGGCTGTCTAGGACAGATTATGCTGGCAGGCGCCCAGGCTGATGCCAGGCTGTGGTCAACAAAGCGACTTTTGTGCTGAGATGACAAATCACAAAGTCAAGCCAACATCTGTAGAGTAAAGGGATGGAGGGGTGGGAAGGTCAGAGTGGAACAGAAGGACAGGAGACAAGAAGGAGGAAAAACACTGTGGAGCTCAGCTGGATGAAGTAAACAGCTTCCCTCCCAGAAATGTCTCAGTAATGCTGAACTTAATATGCAATACAAAATACACTGCAGAAATTATGCTGTTTGTTTTGAGAAGTTTTATTTTACATTCAAGATATTTTTATTTAAGAAAGGTCTGTAGCTGTTCTGATTAATTCTGATAATGTAACCTTTTTGAGGATACTGTTACTTGTTCCAGTATAGTTAAAACTTTAACCTTTGCCGGCTCTTAGTCGTAATGAGAAATAACAGTCAGAGGCTTTAAATGTTAAAGGATTTATTCCTAAAATGTGTAAGATGACAACCAAATTAATATGTCTTACCAGTCTAATGTTCAATCGGTAATGAACTGTTGAATGAGTTGGCCATCCTCCAACATGCCCTAGTGCATCAGGATGTTTCAGAAAACTCCCCTTTAAAAAAAAAAAAAAAAAAAAAAAAAAAAAAAAACA